TATATATATATATATATATATATATATATATATATATATATAAACACTTAACGATGTTTCTTTTATAAATAAATTTATTTTTAATTTCTTAAATTCAAAATTTTTAAATTTAAAAAAAAATATTTTAACTTTTTTTATTTAAATATAATTAGTAAATTTGTCAAAGATAATTTACATATTACTAAGTTTATTGTATAAAATTTCTTAGCAAAAATATTAGATTAAATTTAATTTATGTTACAACTCAATCTTTCTATGGATGTGATGTTACTTGTAGTCATGAGAGTGTGTGTATATAATTATTTACCATATATATTTGGTTGGATTAAAATGATGAGACATTTCAGCCGGTAATTTGTAATAAAAATATTTATATTTATTAATTTCTAGGAACTTAGCCGTTGGATATCATTCATAGTGTGAGTTTTGTAGTTGGCTGTTTACATCGTGTCTAGTGCAGATGTCATGTATTTAGCTTTTACTTAAAGAATCCCTCTTCTTTCTCTTCCATTTCAACTCTCTCTCTCTCTCTCTATCTCTGCTTCAAACTTAAAACCATGTCGTTTTTCCGCTTCCCTCTGCTGTTCTCACTCCTCCTTTCTTCACTTCTCTTAACGAATCACTCCGTAAAGTGCGACCATGGTCAGTACTCCGACACTCTCTCTCGATATTTACAATTCTTGTCTTTCTTGGATCACCTAATTCTGACTACCCTCAACTCAAATGGGTTTCACATTCACTTGTTAATTGCTATTATCAACTGTTATTGTATGATTACTTCATCTGGGTATCATTGAATGTGTTAGTCTCTCGTCAAGTTTCGACTTTTAAGTCTTTTGCTTTCAGGGTAATAGGTCTTTTTCTGTCCTTATTTTTCACCTTTTCTTGCGCTTGGGTTTCTCAGTGGACCATCTCTGTTAGATCTGTTTGGGAGAACGTTGATCTGATGTCACCCAATCTTTGGGAATAGTGTACTTTTCTTTTTAGATGTTGATCTTGAAAAGATCTGCTTATTTCAGTTGATTGCTGCTGAATGATAAATTTGAAATTTTCAATTGCATGATCCTATTGCTTGTCAGTGCAGAATGATTTGAATTTTATATTCAAATTTGTGTATCAATAGGTTGCCAAGATGATCGTTGAGTAACCTATTTGTCTTCTTTCAGAGTTCCATGTTACTGGTGAATGATGATCTGATTTTGCATTAATCTTGTTGATAAAGCATTCATTGCTTGCTACTAGAGGTCACGGAATCCTCTTCCACTTAATTCACATAGTGACAAGATCGGATTTTTCGGAATTAACTTGTAAATCAAAGAGCTATATTTCATTTAGATTTAAATGCAACTTATCTGAGTGAAATGTCTTTACAGATCAGACAGTTTGTTGATATGCTGCCTAACCATTTTCTGCTTTTCATGTGTCAATGCAGTCATAGAATCTGTTTGGATATAAGATAGAAGTGTTTATAAGAGCTTCTTTAATAGAAAAAAAAACTCTTTATTTTCCGTAGAGAAATTCTCAAAAACTCTTATAAGCTTGTATGCAAGTATACTCATAGTAATTAGCACCACATGTCAATTAGTAAATAATTTAGTCGAACCAGCTATATTCCATGAAAAATCCCTCCAATCACCCTATGTCTCCTCTTCTTGCAAAATGCGCACAATGAAGTTGATATTTTGAGATGGCACTAAGCTTAATCGCCCACTTGCAGATGAGGAAGATGATCTTTATCAGGGAATCAACAAGTATAGGGAGTCATTAAACTTGACATCTCTAACAAAGAATGAAAATGCAAATTGCTTTGCTGATGAAATAGCAGATCAGTTCAAGAATCAACCTTGTACAAATACCACAGGCGCTAACACCGTACCGGGTACAGAGCCTCAGCTCTCCAACTATCCAGACCTTTTAAATAAATGCCACTTGAATATTTCTAACACAAGGGATGGAGCTGTAATGCCTGCTTGTGTTCCTGGCCTGGTTCCGAGCGTTGTCCTCACTAATTTCACGCAATCTCTCTACTCCGATAATCTCAATGACTCCAAGTTTACAGGAATTGGTATTGGTTCAGAAGATAACTGGATTGTAGTGGTACTGACCACTAACACTCCTGAAGGAAGCTTTGTTCCTGAGACTTATAGTGGGGCCAATTTGATTTCTAAAATTGGATTGATTTACTCCTCAATGCTCTTGTTAGTGGGTAACCTTTTCGTGTTGTGAACAAGAGGATACCACTGTTCCCATTTTATTTATTTTTAGGATTGTCATTTTGGAGGCCTTGCTACCACTATGAAGTTCTTATTAGTCTGTGTCCGGGAATACTGAAAATAATGTAGACAAGTGCTTTTCTAGTGAAACGTAGATGGTGTGGTATAAGAATTATTTCAAAATTGCATGTGTCTGTAGAATGTTAAAGAAGAGGAATGGAAGGGACAGCATTTTTCCTCGAGGGGTTTATCGGCATTATCAACAGTTTCTTTTTCTTATATTTTCTTTTCTTTTTCTTTCTGATTTTTGAATGTTTTACATTTGCCAAATCAGTATAGGAGGCAATAAATTGTAGCATTGGTGGCAGCATACTAGTACTTTAATTTCAAAATTGAAATTATGTTGCTTATTTGATACTGAGGCTGCTTAGTGTGCCATTCCAAACCCATCTAATTTAGTTCAAAGGTGTTTAAAATTTGACGAGATTACCGATTACTATCCTCTCCCTTATGTATTTTAACGGTTCAGATCATTACCCGATTTTCTTCATTTTTAAATGAAAATTTTACAGTCTTGATTCTTGAACCGATACTACATTCTTGTTTGTTTATGTTCGTGGTGCGTTCCTTATGATTTGAACTTAATTATCATATATTTTAATTTAAAGTTTCAGCTTTGAGTTTGATAAGAGCTACCCAATTATGTTTCTGTCGTTTCCCGACATGATCTGTTAAATAAACTAGTATCAGTAAGAAAGAAAAAATGGATCTAAAATGGGTAAGAAATAGATGCCAAATAGGAACTCTCATCTCTACTTGGTTGATAGCATAGTTAGGAAACTGAACTTTTTTTTATTATTGGTACAAAGAGAACACTAATTTTGCTAATAATTAATTTTTGTCGAAAACCAAATTGACCATTTTAAATATGATTTCCTTTGTTAATTACGTTTTTCTCATTTATAATATTCAAATATAAAACTTCGTTTAAAAAGATCAACTCTGATTTCACTCAGATTAAGGTTATTCTTGGTTATTCAACACGTAAATTTGAGATTATTGATTTAATTGAACTGAAATAATTTTAGGACATAAAGTTAGTTGATGAATACATGGTGAGAAGGGATGACTTTATGTCTACAATTACTAGCTTTCTTTGTAAATCCCACTTTGTGATAGGCATCAGCCAACCTCCGCATATGTCCGTTCTGCAATGACAAGCATTCTCTTGCTGGAATTTAAAAGTTTTGACCAATGGTGACAACTTCAACATGTACCAGGTTCACCTAAGAATTTGTGTTATTAAAGAGGTTTGAAATTGTAGTCCAAATTTTGAATATAAGATCCTCACCTATGTGGGATAAAGTTCAAAGAAGTAGGCACCCAATCCATATTTTGCTGTGTATTGCAAAGCGGAAACCTTCCCATCGGAAGAAACTTAGGTCTTATTTAGATTTTAAAAAATTCCTATACATATAAAAAATAAAAAATAAAAAATAAAAAGGTAAAATGATTGAACTTTTCTTGTTGATTAAAATCAACTTATGCATCTTTGTTTTTAAAGTTAGATGAAAAACTTATATAAAACTGAAGTTCGTAAGTTAATTTTAACTTATGAGAAAAACTTAAATTATTATATTTTCTTCTCTTATAAATATTTATAGCTTTTAAAAATAAGTGCGTGTTTGAATTTTAGTTGGAATTGTTTAAAAGTACTTTTACTTTGAAAGTGACAAATTCTTCCTTCTTCATTTTGTTGTATTTAGAATTCAGAATTGGGCATTGAAATTTTCAAGAGTGTTTTCTAACTTTTATGCAAACGTACTTATTCCAAAAACTTGATGTTAAGAATCTCCTTACTTAGGAAGTGATAATTTAAACATTCCTTGTGTACTGTTCGTGATAAATAGTCCATGACCTTGCGCTGGTCAAAAAGTAAGCCCACTTCTCGCAGCAGATTCTCATTTTATACTGGACTCCCCTTTGTCCTTTGGGCCGGGATCCATGAGAGATTTGGTCAGCATAAGATTAGAGCTTGAGGTTTAAATAGGAATAACAAATGGAAAAGGCTAAATAATATGTTGAAATGAGAAAATGGATAGCAGAAAATGGAAAATATTGGACGTGCATGAAGGGCTCAAATTTTGTGGCTTATTGTGCATATCGTTTGAACCATAAAGGGTGCTCCATATTGGATGGCTCTTGAAATTAAACTGGTCATGGGATATGATTGATTTGGAGATAATTAAATATATTTTAATATTATATAATATATTAATTAATATAAATTAATAACAAATTAAGTTTGATAAAATATTAAATTAATATAAAAGGATCATGTGTGTGTTAAACCCTAGGCCCTAAAGTAATTCATATGTGAACCTAATGTGTGACATTTATTTAATTACCTCAAACATTATTTTCAATAAAAAATACAAAAAAGTATAAAAAATATATTTTTTTTATACCACAAATTTTGAAAAAAAAAATTCATTGTTTTCTCTCTATGTCTTTGAATTATCTAGATATATTCATAGATTTTATTTTTGGGTGAACTAATTAAATTTGGGTCTTAATTATTGAGAGTGAAATAACATTTTGGGTGAACTAATATGGTGCCATGCCACATATATTAATGGTATTGGTAGGGAGGAGTTCAGCGTATATGTAGGCGAGATGAATCAATCCTTTAAGCCATGTATGTGTTCTTTGAACATTTTCTTTTCATGAATTTGTGTTGCAATGGATTCATTTTCTTGTTTTGCCTCAATGAATATGTCCATGCATAGGAAAGCAAGGGCCATTTGTGATGCAGAGAAAATAAGGTATACCCTCTCTAATTCTCACATCTTTTACACACTAATTTCAACGCCAAAATTCTTGTAGATTAATCACATTGGAATTTGACATGTAAAGATCCTTTGTAAATTTCAAATTCCTTACCAAATATTCTTCCTTTTTAACTGATTCTGAACAATCACGTATATATATATATATATATATATTAAAATGTTTATACTTGTACACCTCATGTATGAAAAAGAAAAATCTCTTGTAACTTTTAATTAATTTTGGTTTTTTTCTTCACTCAATTTTTTATGCCTTCCTTACACTTTTTCCCTTTTAATTTTACATCACATATTATATCTTTCTTTGTCTTTCCCTTCTCCCCAAGGTGTATATATCCCTTGAGAGTGAAAAACCCATTTTTGAAAAATAAAGGAATCAGCATACACGTAGTATTATTCGTGACTTTTTCTTCAAGTTTATGGATTCTTTGAAAGTGAAAATTGCACATTTAGTTATATTTTTATTGCTCTTTCTTAAATCATGAAAGAAACATTTGAGCAAAAAAAAACGCATGGCATAGAGTATTACTGTTTTAATAATTTCTTAAAGTTCATTTTGGTGTTTTTCTATTAACAGATTTATATGAATGGTCTTTTGAACCTATCATTAATAAAATGCTTAAAATGATGGGAGTATGGGACCTACTTTTTGTGGTGTTTAGTTTTTGTTAGATTTAAGTCATTCTTAAAAATCCTTGAAAGATTTTGCTAAGTTGTCATTTTCAGCTACTATATATATATATGGTCTTGTAGAGTTTTGCAATAACGATGGTCACATGAAAAGTTTTCATGGAATTATCGGTATCTTCAACTTCACTAAAACGTAATATATAGATCTAATTATACCTTTCATAAAGTGGGCGTTGTTAGACATATATAGCAATCATATGATTTCATTCAACAGCCTTAAAATTTAAGAATAATTGGAACTTGACATTATCATAACCTCTATTGTAGTCAAATAGTTAGGAATTTCATCTTTGACTTGCCCAATTCTTAATAATTTCAATATTTTCATTAAAAAAAATAGAAAATCAATCTATAATGTTATATAAGAGTCTTCAAATTCAAAATTGCTAGATGAAATAATCTCATGTGAGTTAAACCATACCTTACATACCTTGGTGATAAAAAAAGGCATGTAGTTTATTATTTAATATTTAACTAAAACACATAAAGATACGGGAATGTCGTTCCATTTAAATTCAAATTTGGACTTTGAATGCAATCGGTTGAAGGCCACATTATCTGTATTCTATCTATGCATGTGAAATGTTAAATGTCACATTTCTGAAACCAATTAAACTGTTTCAAACAGAAAACAGAGAAATTGACCCTCTTAGGTGCTAGTTGTTTTCATTGTCACTGTAACATTTCTGTTGACGTCAAAGAGAAAAAAATGATTAATGTGGGAAGTGAAGGGGCAAAGAGCTGTTTTATTTCCCATATGTTACCCACGGGTTGCCAATGCTTGTCTCCGTGCATGCTTCCCAAATTAAGCTTAGTTAATATTATTGAATATTTTTTGCCTTGAATTTCCTTAAATCAAATCGTTAAGAAATCCCCATTAATTCTTTTTGCTCCCTAGAATTAATCAAGGCGATCTATTCGGATCTTTTGCTCTCTTTTGAAATTAGTGTTTTGGTCAAAGAAATAACAAAAAGTCTCACTTTTGCTTCATATCTTTTAAATCACACAGCGTTGATCAAAGTTGTCATGAGGACCCCCAACAATGAAAGAACAGGATGAAAAGGAAAAGAAAGAAAAATTAGGAACATGGGGCTGAATTTTGAATTATAAGAAAGGACTAAAGCGAATGACAAGATGTTTGTGTTGCATAATTCGAAAGACCAAGATTCTGGGAGATCAACCTGATATGGAAAAAGATGCATGAAAATATCATTTGATAGATAGGGTGAGAAAAACCATCATGAAAGAAGATAAAAAGGTTTCGCTTTCTACAAAAAGCTTAGCTATAAAGTGATTCAATTCTAAAAGGTTCCCCTCATTGATTTCACCGTCAGTAACATTTTAATCAACTAGGAGATGTGATTCTCATGTTAATAATTTTTTAGAAGTAATTATGGAATATTCTTGCATAAGTTTGAAACTTTTCTTGGTCTCGTTTTGGTAACATCACTAGCTTAATAAACAGTTCATACTGCTTTATAACAAGGCCGGGGCTGAAAATTATGCATATTAAAAGTTGTTCATCCACCAATCCCTCGACAGACATAGACAGAAAAAAAGAAGAAAGAAAGAAAGAAGAAAAAGAAAAAAAATAATAAAAATTAGACACATCGAGGAATCATCACAAAATCTTGTGAATATGGTCTAAAGTATGCATGGGACCGTTGTGACCAACATAATATGCTATAAGAAAGGAAATGAAATTATAGATTGTCAATTTTGGCTCCAAATTCTGAAGAATGTGTCGATTCTGGTTATATACTCTTTTGTTTGGCATCTCTGCCCCCCACCTCTTTTCATGCCAAAGAAAAATGTTTTCTATGACAATATCATTTTGCAATATATGTCAATTACATCAAAGTTTTTATGGACAAGCACAGCCATAGAAAGGAGCCCCCTTGTGTTAGTCAATAGTCATGGCTCTCTCTTTAATTTATCAAAATTG